ATGTCTGAGCAGGCAAGCTGTGTGTTCTTTGTTGTTTGCTCGTCTGTGGGCACGATATTTTTCGCCTCCTTCTCCAAGTGTCAGGGTCAGTCATTCAGATATGGTACAGCAGGGCAGGTCTAGCTGAAGAAGAGTTGCTAGGATGGGTTGTTTGTGGCACTTACTACAGCCACCAGGGCGGTTGGTAATCAGTGCAGGGCAGATTCCGGAAGGCCGTGCCTGTGCTGCTTGGTGGTGTGATGTTAAGCGCACAGTGCAGGTAGGCAGGATGAAGGGGAGAGATTGTGATGTGTGGAGCTAAGATGGATATGGGAGAGAGGAGAGAGGAATAGGAGCCAAAAACATACAAACAAACAAAAAAGAGTGCTAGGGCAGCTTGCTGTTGGAGAGATGAGAGACTATGAAATGGAAAAAAAACAAGAAGGGGAAGAAGAAGAGAAAGAAAAAAAGAGAAGAATGAATAAATAAAAATTAGAAAGAACAGCAGAGCTCCCAGGGATCCCACCGGTGCGGCTACGAGGTCTGGGGAAGTTGTTCCCAGGTGTTGAAGTACAGCCTGGCTAGAAAGTGTAGAGGTTTTCAGTGCCAGGTATTCAGGGGACAGGAAGAGAAGAAAGGTATAGACAGATGAGAAACTAAGTAATGAAGAAAGAGACACAGGGAAAAAGTGGGAAAAGAAAACAAAACAAATTAAAAAAAAAAACAAAGAACAAGAAAAGCCCCCCAAAAAACAGGGAAAAAAAAAAAAGAACCACAAAAAAAGAAATGCTCTCAGGGATCCCTCTACACATCTGTGCAAGCTGAGGGGGTAGGTCCCAAGCCACATAGCACTGCCTAGCCAGAATGGGCTCCCAACTTGAGAAAAGAAAAAGAAAACAAACAAACAATTCAACACAAGCAAACAAAAAAAAGCCCCAGGATCCCACCAGCATGACAGCACGGACCTGGAAGCAGTTCCACACTTGAACAGAGCTCCGCAGCCCCTTAGGAAGAAGCAAAGATGGCGCCCGGAGCCAGGTACTTGAGAGAAAGGATCGGGAGGTGGTGAGAGGTTAGGAAGAAATCTAAAGAAGCAGAAAAAAGCAACACCAGCAGCCAAGAAATGGCACTCAGTGAGTCAGCCAGTGCGGGCGGGTGGAATCCAAGCAGCTGGTGCTTCCTGGCTGTGGCAGCGGGAAGCAGAGGAGGCTGAGTCGGGGTGAAGAAGGGTGGGGGTTGGGAAAGCGCATATCGCTCTTTACCACTTGTTCTTTCTCCTGCTGGAAGCTCTGTGAAGCTGCTTTCTCATACCCCTTGTTCGCTGGTCTCTGATAGGAGTCCAAGATGGCAGATCCATGCTGCGTTAGCTGATAGGGGACCTCTGCATGAATCTCTCCTCACTCTCCATTCTCTGTCAGTTTCTCACTCCATCTGGTGCTTAGCTGAGTTCTTTATCTCTTCATTTGATGTTTTAGGGTTTCAGGATTGCTGTTTTCTCTGTTTGGCTTAGTTTTTCGGATTTTTTCTGTGGAGGGACGGTGTGGTGCTTCTGCCTAGAGCGCCATGTTGCTGGAAGTCATCATTCAGTCAATTTTTATCCTCTACTAGGTGCTCTGGTAGCACAGTGGTTAAGAACTCAGCTGCTAGCCAAAATGCCAGAAGTTTGAATCCACCAGCCACTCTTTGTAAACCCTGTGGGACAGTTCTACTCTGTTCTATAGGGTTGCTATGAATAGAATTCAATTCAACAACAATGGGTTATTAGGTGCTGGATATAAAATGTACCACTTCTCAGGTATCTTACAGTCTAGTGGGGAAGTCTGAGACTTCTATAGAGGGGGCATTTTTGATAGGCTGAGCTAGAACCGAGACTAAGGCAGACGGTATATTCTCCCCACACCACCTCTTCCCCCCATGTTTGTTTGCATCTCTTAATATTCATGGCCACTTTGATTTGGGAAGTTTGGGTTGGCGAGGAGACAAGGGGGCAGGGGTGAGGAGAGCAGAGGAGGGCAGGGAGATGGGTTGGCACCTGTTCCTCATCCAGTGCCCTCACCTGGGTTTGCGCTGCTGTGAGGAAGACCAGAAACTACCGTCCTGGAAGGAGATGCTCTGATGCAGGCGGAGGTCCTCTGGGACCTGATAAACAAGCATGAACAGAGCTGGGAGGCAGACCCTCCTCTGGGCCTCTGTTCTGGCAACCCAAGGTTTGGAAGCTTTGGGAGCAGCCCTGATGGCACCGTTGGGATCTTGATATAAAATGTCTCATGATGGGGGCCAACAGCATGAAGCTTCACCAAGTGGTCTTGCAGGGAGTGGACCTAGACAAGATGGAGCTGGCAGAAGGATGCATCTGGGCCTGGGGAAGGCAGCCCCTCCAGGCACAGCTCCCAGCAGTAACTCAGTGATTGTTCAAAGGAGGTGAACTTCTGGAAGTCAGATCAGCAGAAGCTCAAGTACGATGATCTGACCCTGAAAGTAAATGCGTCCAAGGGAACGTAACCTTTCCTTACTATTATGTTCTAATTTTTTAGAAAGAGAAGAATGGATGGATATATTACCTGTGTAATTAAAAACAGTAATTGTGAAAAAAGAATTTTAAGTGAGGGGAGAGCGATCTCATGTTTGTAGTTCCAGGCTGGTGCGATCTGGGATGTCTTGGTCTCATGTACATATACACAGCATACGGCTGGCTAATGTCAGATCACCACCACTATCACTTCCATCACGGCCCTGGTAGTGTAGTGGTTAAGTGCTACGGCTGCTAACCAAAAAGTCAGCAGTTTAAATCCACCAGCCACTCCTTGGAAACCCTATGGGGCAGTTCTACTCTGTCCTATAGGGTTGCTGTGAGTTGGAATTGACTCGACGGCAACGGTTTTTTTAAAATCACTTCCATCAGAAAGGCACATATTGAAATTTACAATGGTTAGCCCATTTAATCCTCATGAAAATACCATGAGACATCAATCATGGTCCTCATTTTAAAGAAAGAAACTGAAGCTCAGAGAGGTTAAATGCTAAAGCAGAATTTTCGAACAAATAATAGATGGTGAGCACCCAGAGAAGTTTTTATATAATTCCTTAATGAGGAAACCAGGAGGAAGACAAAAAAAGCTGGTTGTTGAGTGCTTAAGGAACACAAGCACACACACACACACACACACACACACACAACTAGAAAAACGTATGGCTAAACAAAATTGCTAGGTTGGATACAAGAATGGTTAACTTTTCAAATTATAGCACCTTAAATTTAACTAAGTTATAACAGGCAATACAATCTTAGCATTGTATCAATTCTAGAGTTAAACTCTGCTCTAAATCAATGCTGCATTTATCAGTTGTACGTCAGATATACTATGAAAGCGAAGTTACATTCCATAGACGTGTCAGATACAGGTCAAAGCAAGGTACAAGGTTCCTTTTTTGTTCTAGGAGGCTTGTTGGAAAATGCTTCAACATGATACCAGAAGTCAAGTCAATACCGTTTTTCTTTTTTCCAAGTTTGAATAAGTTATTCCTTTCTCATAAGGTACTTGCCTAAAGTAAGTGACTATGGTGGGATTGAAACCCAGATGGGTCTGAGCTTTTATCTACTGTATTTTATGGCTTCTGGTGGTCTGAGGCACAATGGGAACAGATATTAAGGGCATATCATTTAGTCTGAGGTTGATATGGGATGGCCAAAGAAGGCTTCCTGGAGGGGATGTTGATACCTAAAGAATGAGATGAAACTGTCTAGGATTGGTGGTTGTTCTGAGGTTTCCAGCTGGGGTGGTAACCATGAATCCATAGTGCTTATAACTGACATGCTCAGTCCTGTGATTTTGTTCCTATGGCTCCAGTAGCCCAAGCTTTCAGTTGTATCCATCTGGAGTTGGTGGTTTTTACCAGGCATCTGAGGCAGAAAGTAAAAGGATCAAGGGAACCGAAGATACCAGCAAGAAAATGGTAGATGTGATGGACAGTGATGTTTATGATGGGGATGGAAGGAGGAGAGAGTAGGAGGGAGCCAAGAGACTAGAGTAGCTCAATAAATATTAATTCCAGTTTCCTAATCACAGCTATGAATGGAGTTCTGTCTCCCTGTACGAGGGGATAGCACACATTTATTTTGTTCCCTTTCATTTCATCTGTCAAAGGACTTTGCTCATGGTAGGGTTTCAGTTTATTCTCTTAAATGGGTAAATAAATCCATTTTGAAGTACTAATAGTTTTATCTTAAAAACTCAGTGAATGTTTCACTGGCATCAGTGGGTACAGTATACCCAGATCCATATGAAGTACTCATGTATAGGACTTAGAGATTTAGATACCTACATTTATTTTTTCAGCAAATAAAATGATATATTCTGTTTTCTCAGTTAAAATATTTTTATCTAGGATAAAACAGCTTTTGTAATATATGACAGAGTAATACTTAAAAAATACATAGTTATGCTTTCTTAGAAGGGTACACTATAATTATATGCAAAATTATTTATAAACTAGACATTAATACCATAGATTTTGTGATGTGTATCATACATTAAGTCCCAATTTATGTCACTGGTTTCCAAATAATTAATGTTCTCAAGATATGAAATTCAAATTCAGTTATTTTTCATCAAATACTATTTTCTTCTAAGGAATTGGGAATCACATATCATCTTGTGCAAGAAGTCACAACTTGGTGTGGATGTGAGCCAGATGACTTTTAACCCCATGAACTGGCACCAGCTGTGTTTGTCAAGTTCAAGTGCAGTGACTGTGTGGACCATTGAAAGAAGTAACCAGAAACATTACCTCAGACCAAAGTAAGAGGCTTTCTTACTACACAACAACAAAATGGTAATCTTCATTTGCATGTATGTAAAGTCATTGGGTCTATCTGATGAATTAAATGGCTTTATCACACATACATTATCTTAAGTAATAACATCTTACTATTTATATAATTAACTTGAAGTGCTTGTTTGCATTTTGAAAGGGTTCTTTATTTTATGACTTAATTTCCCAATGAGTTTCTTTTAAATACCTAGCCCTCCTAGAACTTTTTGTCAACATGGTTTAATTTTCCAAAATTTGATTTGCTCTTACTATTTCAAAACATGCCTGTTGTATAAAGAGGATAGTTATGACTTGTCATGCCTGCTACTTTGATGCCCAAGGAATCTAAAAAATAAGAAACATTTAGATTTAGAAATTGCAAACATTATACCTTCAGCCACATTATCTAAAAACAAACGGGTAGTTGCATGTGGTGAAGGCATAGGAGTTACAGGTTTAAATAGAACTGGGTCAAAGAGAAATTCTATGACCCATGTCATAGTGATGGTTGATGATAACAGGTACTTCTGTTGGAAAAGAGTTCAAATTCTCAAAGTGCCTGTAAAAATGGCTTGGGGGCAGTGTCTGACCTCCTCTAACTTCCCAAGGTGGGAAGAGAATCAAGATCAACAGCCCAAGGCTGATTCCTATGAGGCAGAGGTCAAACATGCCTCCTCTCTCTGACACCAACCATTTCTCTCCCACAGCACTCTTCACTGGGTTCGATAATTAAGTGCAATGGCCTCACAGAACTCACAGACCAAACTCACAATTATGTGGCTTAGTAGGGAAGTAACGGTTACAATTCAGGCTCAAGAAAACTCAGGATACAGTTCTTCCATCAGGATAGCCTCTCCCCAGCTGTGCTCAAAGGCACGCCCCTCCCTGACCCTCAGTCTCTGCCCAAAGGAACTCAGCTTTCTCTCTCCAGGGGCGGGCCGGGAAGCCCACCACACTATCTCCTGCTGCCTAGCCTCTCCTTGGTGGTGGTTGGCTCCTTCTCTCTGCTCTGGAATTGGCTCTTTGTTAAGGCAAAACTGACCAATCCTCTTGGTAGGCCACAATTACCCTATCACACAATCACCTAGGTGGAAGTTAAAAGACCGTGGATAGGAGGGCCACACACAAATGTAATTAATCCACCACAGTGCCTCTGAGCTAACCATTCTCAGTGTATTCCATGAAGTAAAAGACTAGAAGAAGTTGCTAATTTACAGCCTTGAAATTGCAATTTTTGAAAAAATTGCCTCCTTAAGAGAAGTGCAAAGCTAGTAAATAATGTTTTCTAAATGTAAAGCCCCACAAGAAGCACTTCTTTCTCCTCAGTGCTCTTTATGTCTCATTTTCTTGTTTACAAGCACGCATTGAATAGTCAAATTTGTTTCTAGTCAGATTTGACAATGCTGTACCTTTTAATAAAGTGGGTGATGTCTCTGTCAGACCCTGGACAGAGCAGGCAAGTAATTTATCACACCCTTCTTTCTCTTTGCTTACCTTGAATATTCTACTCTAGTACTGAATATTGAATTGTGATTTCGCTGTAAGCAAATAAAGCAGGAGGCAAAATGACCAGATTGTCTAGGTTCATAAAGCAAGCAGGATTCTTAAGCATTTAAGCCTTAGATATTTTGAGTAGTAGATAATGTTTTTATGTGACCGTTTTTCAAAATTATTTGTCACTCATAAACCATAACCAAGCCAGTTCAGAATTTAATGCATGAAGCCATGAATTCTTCAATGCTATGGGTTAAAAGTAAATATAGTATATATAAATATAAATATAGTAATACCAAAAGTGAATTCTTGGTATCAGAGGTTGCAATAGTAGCTGAATACAGCCTACAGATTTTTTTTTTTTTTAAATTTTAATTAGTTGCCAACATTTAAAATTCCAGAGATTTCTCATGGTATTCTCTTGAAAATTTGGAACCAGAATTCTTACATGTCATGAAACCATCTTGCTAGAGCTAAGTGGCACCTGCCTCCTGTAGGAGCGACAAACACTTTAAAATTTACCATGATCCCCACCTAGCTACATGTTACCTGCCAGACCCCATTACATTTGAATTTACAATTCCTGCTCTAGATATTAACTTTGACAATTTTGAAAATCCCTGTGTACTTAATTTATAACTGTGCATTACTTGTCCTTTTATGAGATTTTAAAATCTACTATTTGGCTTTTATTTGATTATATGTATTATAACACATATATGTATTTGGCTTTTATCTGGTATATGTTATAATGTATATATATTTGGCTTTTATCTGACATATAACATATATATGTATATGTATATATATAATTATATGTATATATGTGTGTATACATATTTAAAAAAAAAAAAAACCAAACCCGTTGCCGTTGAGTAGATTCTGACTCATAGTGACCCTATAGGACAGGGTAGAACTGCCCCGTAGGGTTTCCAAGGAGCAGCTGGTGGATTTGAACTGCCAACCTTTTGGTTAACAGCCGAACTCTTAACCACCTCGCCACCAGGTCTCCATATATACATACATACATACGTACGTACATACATATATATATATGTATATGTTATACCTCCCCACCCTGCTATCCACCCAGATGCAGTGGTTGCATCAATGATTAGTGTTTGTTAATCTCATCACTCTTATATCTTTTTTTCTATAGGTCAGTGAAACTACCTGCAGAAGATGGGTCCATTTTAGATGAAACAGACATCATTTTCTCCCACTCACTGCTCAAGGATCCTATCTATGGACCTGTGTTCCCCCTGTCGGCCATTGCCGGGCTAGTGGGCGAAGAGGCAGAAACTTTCAGGGTAATTACCTGGCACCTCTTCCTGTTTGCATAATAGATTGAGATTTAGAGAGCATGATCTCGTTTGATTCTCATAACCATCCCATGAAACAGGCAGGATAGAGAGGATCATCCTGGTTTTTAATACAGATTAGCTGTGGAGACTGTGAGAAATGAAGGCTCTGGAGTTTTGAGTTTGGGTGACTGGGAAGACGATGGTACTCTAATGGACACGGGAAGCCCAGATGTGAATTCCATTTTGGACATACTATACTCAGTTTGGGGTGTTGGGGGAACATCCAGGGAGAGATGATGGGTGGAAAGTGGCAAAGTGGACCTGATGTTCGGGGGGAGAAGGCAAGGTTGGAGACATAGACATTAGAGTCATTCTCACAGATGGGATAGTGGAAGCTTTGAGAGAGGTTGTGATGAACAGGAGAGAAAGTGTCAGGGAAGAGAAGATGGCCAGAGAGAAAACTGACTGCCAAGACTTGGGAGGAGGAAGAAGAGTCTGAGAAGGAACATTTACAGAAGCAGGAGCAAATCCAGGAGAGAACAAGGTCATAGAAAACATGGAAGAAAGTTTCAAAAGGGAGAGCTTATCAACAGTTATTTAACAGGTATTTATGGAGCTCCTTCTGTGCAGCAGGTACTTCTTTAGTCAGTGAGGATCCCATGGTGACTGACCCAAGCATAATCTCTGCCTCATGGATCTTACATTCTAGTCAGAGACAGAATGACAACCACAAAAGTTAACAGATATATTAAATCATTGCAAAATGTGATAATGATTATAACAGAATAAATGGGGGTTGAGAGATTAATATAGGCTGGTCAAAGAAGGTCTCTGAGTAGAGATGACACACTGAGACCTGAAAGACATGTTGTGTAACTCATGTTACAGGAGGGTAAAGGGCATTCCACTCAATGAATGGCATGTGCAAAGGCCCTGGGCGAAGAAGAGAACCTGGCATGTTTGAGGAACTAAGGAAAGACCTGTGTGGCTTGAGCATGGTGAACAAGAGGGAAGTGAGGTGCAGGGTGATGTTCAAGAGGGAGGCAGGGACCAGGGACCAGCACATGCAGGACCTTTGGAGTGAGTCTTAGCCTCTTAAACCTACACTTTGCTAATACTTGTGGTAAAGCTCTAAGCAGAGGATAAAGGAAGTAGAGGGTCCCAAGTGTTTTGGACCACAGCAGAGAAATAAGTTCTTTAGAAAATCTTTGTGGCAAGCAAGAGAGAAGGTATATTCTTTTGATATCTCCTCTAATAGATGACAATTATTCATAATTTTAAATTGTAGAAAATGGCTAATTCCTTACATAGCACAGGTCTTGGCCTTGAAAATACAGCCATACTAAGCCACAATAGGGAAGCAAGGTAAAAACAAATAGATGGGCTATCCCTGTTTACAACTTGAAAGAATGTTTCTCTGCCTTAAAAAAAAAAGAAAAAAACCGTTACTGTTCAGTTGATTCTGGCTCATAGTGAACCTGTAGGACATAGTAGAACTGCCCCATAGGCTTCCCAAAGCTGTAAATTTTTACTGAAGCAGACTGCTACATCTTTCTCCTGCAGAGTGGCTGGTGGGTTCAAACCACTGTCCTTTCGGTTAGCAGCCAAGTACTTTAGCCACTGAGCCACCAGGGCACCTTGTTTCTTCTAAAGTTAGATATAAAAAAAAACAAAAATAACAAACTCATTGCCATCGAGTTGATTCTGACTCATAGTGACCCTATAGGACAAAGTAGAACTGCCCCATAGGGTTTCTAAGGCTGCAGTCTTTACAGAAGCAGACTGCTGCATCTTTGTCCTGAGGAACGGCTGGTGGTTTCAACCCGACAGCCTTTTGGTTAGCAGCTGAGTGCTTAACCACTGTGACACCAGGGCTCTCTTTTTCTTTGCCTAGGACCCCAAATTTTCAACTATCTCAAACTTTTTTTTTTTTTTGCAGTAAATTTCTACAGAAGCCCTCATGTTCCCCACATTTTGCACCAAGATGATGAAGCCTACATGAACCCTACTTTTTTTTTTTTAATACTTCAGTGTGGAGTTAACAATTTTTTAAATGCTCTTAACAAACAGACATCTTTATTTTCTAGGACTTTTGTCTTCATTACATTTTAATCTTTTTCTGAAAACAGAAATTTAATGTTGTAGTTTGACATCTCTAAATTTTACAGGGAGTAAAAATAAGGCCATATACTTTTCATCCAAGTTAGAAATGTTCCCAGTAGTTTACTTTTTTCCCATTTTTTTACTTAAATGAAGTGATAAAAATGGCTAAAACTTTGATTACTGTCTGGACAATGAGGGAAAGCACAACCAAAAATAGATCTCAAATGTCTTGATTCTATTCTTTCCTTTGAATGTCATTTCTTGTGACCTAGGTACCAATGACAAAGAAATCAGTAATGAGTTGATCTATATAAGATCCTTGTTGCCCTGGTGGCACAGTGGTTAAGAGCTCGGCTGCTAACCAAAAGATCGGCAGTTCGAATCCACCATCTGCTCCTTGGAAACCTTATAGGGTCACTATGAGTCGGAATTGACTCGACAGCAATGGGTTTATTTTTTTGGTTTTATATAAGAACCTTATAAATGTACAAGTTTAGACTTTTACAAAATTACAAACATTAAACACTCCCGTTATCTCTTTTGTAGATAACATTAGAAAATCACATTATAGGCCTTTATGTAGGACCAGGTCACATTATGCAACTTATTTAGGGTACATAAAGTAGTAGCATGGGGAATTCAAAGGCAGATGTTATCTGGGCAGAAATTTGATCCAAGAAAATGAATTTAATCTATAGTTTTCTTTTTCCATCTACTTTTTTTTTTTTTTTTAAACAGAAGTTTCAAAATAGGAAACTCTACATGGAGTTGCCATGAGTCAGAATTGACTCAACGGCAACTAACACAAATATTCTAAACTTAGGTATTCTGAAAAGTATTCAGATGCTTACATTTTCTAAAACAATTGAGATGGACCCCAGTTTTTCATGTTTGGTCTTCAGGTGATCAAAGTGTTTGCTGTATGATTTCAGAGGCCTGAAAAAAGAAGGTGGTGCTATCCAGAAATATATTTAAACATCATTTGCACCCTCTCTTTTAAAACTCTCAGAATTCCCAAGGGACGGAAATGGCCACATAAACCAGAGACTTCATCAGCCTGAGACCAGAAGAACTAGATGGTGCCCGGCTACCACCAATGACCGCCCTGACAGGGAACACAACAGAGAGTCCCTGATGGAGCAGGAGAAAAGTAGGGTGCAGAACCCAAATTCTAGTAAAAAGACCAGATTTAATGGTTTGATTGAAACTGGAGGAACCCCAGAAGACATGGCCCTGGACTCTCTGTTAGCCCAAAACTAAAACCATTCCCGAGGTCAACTCTTCAGACAAAGATTAGACTGGACTATGGGACATAAAATAATACTCGTGAAGAATGTGCTTCTTAGCTCAAGTAGATACATGAGACTAAATGGGCAGCTCCTGTCCAGAGGTGAGATAAAAAGGCAGAGAGGGTCAGGAGCTGGTTGAATGGACATGGGAAATCCAGGGTGGAAAGGAGGAGTGTGCTGCCACAGTATAGGGAGATCAACTAGGGTCACATAGCAATGTATGTATAGATTTTTGTTTGAGAGACTAACTTGAATTGTAAACTTTCACTTCTAGCGCAACAATAAATAAATAAGGAAATAAAACTCAGAATTTTCAGAACTGAAAATTATTATTTCTGCTCACATATAATATCATGTTCATTTTTAAATGACAAGAACATATTTATCAATGAAAGAAATAGGAAGACAAACCCAGATTTATCTTAAAGTAAGAAAAACCACATATAATACTATTACCACATACAAAGGTCAGAAAAATCCAAATTTTCATCCTCACCTCCAGGTTATTTGGTGTTGTGAGAATCAGAAATGTGGTTTTTTAAGATTGTGTGCCCATTTCCATCGCAGGTAAGAATCTACCCTTTTGTGATTTATAGTCTAAGGTTAGATGTCATCAAGACACCCCAAGAAAATTTTAAAGAATATGGTGATTCAGTGACTAGCTCTTTTTCTGTGAGTCACATCTCAGTCAGAAAACAACAGAAATGTCATTAATCAGCAGCAATTTAATCCTTTTGGGTGGTTTTGCCCTATTTTTAGTTCACTGGGTGGCCAGATTGTCACTTAAGTATTTATTTTAACTATCTAAGGTTATGAGGGCATGAAATAGACCAATCATACAATTGAAGTCAATCTATCCTTTTAAAAAAGGAAATAAAATTATCATAATGAATATTCCCATTGTAAGTGCTGCCTTAGTCATATTTCAGGGTTCATCCCAAAGGACACAACTCCTTTCTCTCTATGCTTCCCTCACTCCACAGGGAAGAATCAATTACTTCCTCATTGATGCTCCCATAATATGTAAATACACCTCTACTGTAAACTGGCGCAGTGGTTAAGAGTTTCAGCTACCAACCAAAAGGTTGGCAATTCAAATCCACCAGCCGCTCTTTGGAAACCCCTATTGGAGCGGTTCTGTTCTGTCCTGTAGGGTCACTATGAGTTGGAATTGACTTGATGGCAGTGGGTTTGGGTTTTTTTTTTTGGGCAGGAGAAGGGTGTACTATAAACTACAGTGTTTTCTGATATTTATTGATACTGTTTCTTCTGTCAATAGGTGACTATCCTATTGAGAAGAAGGATCCCTTAGGACATGGCACAATGCCTGGTATAACCAACACCCAGTAAATGTTTATTGAGATGATATCAATTATGTAACACACTTGTATCAGTTGATAATCTAGTAGAGATATTTACTTTGGCAGGGCCATACCTACTTACCTTGAATCTGCAAGCTTCTCCTAAATTAAAAGAGCAGTATATAACATATTGTTCAGATAGTTGCATATTTGTTAAGATGATGGCTTGCATAAATCAGGGAGTTTTGAGTAGAAAAATGGCTGTTTATGTGGGCTTATAATATTCTCCAACTGTGAAAGCTATTCCAATTTTCCCTGTTTGATTTTTCTCCGCAGCCCTTAATCACCATGTAACATTCTTATATATTTAACGTCTTAACTTATTTTTATTCTTTGTTTCCCCTGACCAGAATATAAGCTCCATGAGGATAGGGATTTTTGTCTGTTTTGTTCACTGTTACAACCCTATACCTAGAAAAGTGCCTGGAATGTAGCAAGTGTCCAATAAATATTTATTAGATGAATGAATAAATGAATGAACAAATGAAATAAATTTAGGAATTCTGGTGATTTGGCCAACAGCTTATTAAAATTTTTTTCTGTGTCTATGGGTGTAAGGATGCCTAAAGAAAACAAAGACATTATGTCGTAGCTAGTAAAGTCTAAATAATAGCATAGCATTACAAAAACCTCAGATAGTACTACACGGTATGTTACAAAAAAATAATAATACTAAAGTAAGCTAGTATGTTTGACTAGTTCAACTAGAAAGGAGTCAGTACCATATTAAGGCATTCTGAATTTAGGATCTTAGTTAATCAGTGCTGGGAGGTGGGGGGACACGTGCCCAAAATAGTTGTCACAGCTACCTTGACCTCCAGAAAGGAGAGCAAGTAGTCCTAAGCTTACAAGGAGGCCTGACCCTGCTGAGAGAAAGGGGGAATGCTCTTTCTCCTACTGGACACCAGTGTTTAGGGCTGCAGGGGGTATAACACTGAGGTATTATCATGGGAAGCAGGGGTTAGCAAATTAGGGACTTTTTTTAAAATAAAATTTAATTGTGTTTTTGGTGACAGTTTACACAGCAGTTTAGGTTCCCATTCAAAAATTTCTGCACAAGTCATTCAGTGGCATTGGTTACATTCTTCACAATGCATGAATATTCTCATTATTTCCATTCTGGTTGTTCCTTTTCCATTAATCTAGTTTTCCTGCCTCCCTTACATTCTCATCTTTGTTTTAAAGTAATTGTTGACCGTTTGGTCTCATATAGGTGATTTTTTTAAAGGAGCACAGTACTTACAGGTGATATTCGTTATTTTTTGAGCCAATTTGTTATTTAGCTACAAGATGACCTCAGGGGTTAGTTTCAGTTCAAGGTTTTAAGAATATCTCAGGACAATAATATCAGGGAGTCCTCCAGTCTCAACCAGTCCAGTTGGTCTGGTTATTTTTATTTTTTTTAGGAATTTGAGGTTCTGTTCCACATTTTCATCCCATTCTATCCATTTATTGTGGCCCTGATTAGAATGGTCGGTAGTGGTAGCCAGGCACCATCTAGTTCTTCTGAGCTCAGGGTAGACGAGACCATGGTTCATGTAGAGTTTTTGTCCTGTAGACTAGTTTCTTCTTTGAGTCTTTTGTTTCCTTTTTTATCTTTTGCTCTTGGTAAGTAAAGACAAATAGTTGCATCTTAAATGGAAACTCCCAAGCTTTTAAGACCCCAGACAGTACTCACCAAACTAAGATGTAGAGCATAACTTTATAAACTATATTATGCCAATTGACCGAGATGTCCCACAAGACTATGGTCCTAATCCTTCAAACCCAGAAATCCAATCCTGCAAGGTGTTTGGTTATGTCTAAGAAGTGTCTGTAGAGGGCAAAATGACGCTCTAAGCAGAAGCACCACGCCATCCCTCCACAGCAAAGATCCGAAAAACTAAGCCGAACAGAGAATACAACAATCCTGAAACCCTAAAACATCAAATGAAGAGATAAAGA